GTTGTTGTTGTTGTTGCTGCTGCCGCCTCACAGCGTCTGCTTGGGGCAAGGCTGACCAAACGTTGGCCGGCCAACGATACCCGTCGCCCGTTTTCATTTCAGCCATTTGCGCATTCATTTGGCCATTACGCGTGCGCTCCTGGCCAAGACCCACAGCCACAACGAGTGCCTGAGACCCAATCCCAACAAGTCGTAGTCTTATATGTCTTATATATGTATATACACACATATGTTTTGATTTGCTGGAATTTGTTGAAACATATAGCCAAAGCCGTTGCCGGACCTGTGATTAAATGCAGCCCGTCGCTGTTGCTTCTGCATTTAATGATACCTTCAGCAGGAGTCTTTAAACGATATGATTCTCGGAATGTGCTCGCTCGATCTGAATGAATGCAGGTAGTATATTTAGCCAACTGCAGCAATATAAATGATAAACGCTTTTTTCTCTGGACTGTAATCTAAGCTGTAGCATGGCATTTAATGGAATTTATAGTAATGGAGAAGTTTTTTGAGGCACTCAAACTAAAACTTTTAATATAGATATTGAAACCCTTACAAAGGTTTTTTTTTTTTTTTGTAAAAAAAATTGAAAAAAATTAAACAAAAATATATTTTTTAATATATTACTGTTTCTACATTTTATGAATGTATATATTATATATTTATTTATGGCCTTAATAAAACTCAAGTAATTTTAACTAAACGTTCATTTATGCGCCATTAATGTATCTCTTTTTCCCGCCCTCTCTCTCCATCTCTCTCTCTGGCTTAATAAGCAAATAAATTTACTTTAATAGCCCCCTTTAAATGCCGCTAGCTCCCTTGATCAATCAACTTCAATTTGATTGCCCGAAACTAATATAAATTTGGTTTTAATGCACTCGCTGAGATCAATAGACTCTTGCACTTTCACAACTTTTAATTGAAAAGCTCATTAATGACTATATTACCGGCAACAGTTCCACATAAAACTTAATAAAAAAATCAAAACGAAAACATTTGAATTGTTTACATTAAAATTGGTTTCTTTCTTTTTTATTTGAACCGCTTGCTGCAGCTTCCACGTTTGTTAATTCACTTTATTAGCGGCGTGACGCAAGTCGCAATTCAAATGTGTTTTCACAGCTTAAATCTTTTTATGATTGAAAAAGCAAGAAAGAGAAGAAGAAGAAAACATACACACACACACACACGCACACACATACACTTTAATGAGCTTTTAATTTGGTAATTAGTTTGGAGCTGCATTCGATTTGTTTTGCAGCGATCGCAGCGTATAAAAGTATCTATGCGCTGGCCAATGTATCTCATGGATACAAAAGTGCGCGCCGTGTGATTTACAGCCATGTCACACAGCGCATTAAATCGATCGATTAAAACTGGAGAGATTCTCGCTGTGAGCATATGCAAGAGTGTGCGAGTGTGCATGACTCTGTGTATGTGTGTGTGAGTGTGTGTGCATGCTTGTATAGCTTTTGTATTTGTGTAGCCTTGTGTGTTATTTTATTTTTTTTTTTCTGGCGTCGCTTTCATTGATGTTGAGCTCTTTTTTTTCTGCTGCCTTGCTTTTTATATCTTTTTCGTCTGCCGGCTGTCTGGTGAAAATTTGTGCGACATGCGAAAGAGATTTTAGGTGACAGCGGCGCCACCTAAAAAGAGCAACGGAAGCTCTAGAAGACGATGATTTATATTATCAAATGAAGTGAGAAGAGTTCGAGTAGAAGACGTGTCAGCAGAATGAAGAAGTACATTTGGAGTTAGGGCATTCCGTTTAGTAAGCAAATCATTTGTTTATATTATACGTTTTTTTTTTCTGAAAAGGTAAGCTTTTTATTAATTTATATATAATGACTCACTGAATGAGAATTTTAATTATATATTCTATCTATCGATATATAAATTAAATAAACTATCGATAACTACTATCAATACACGTACATTAATCCACTAAATTCCTAGTCACTCGATGATTTCCGACTCTACAGATCTCAGATTCCAGCTATAGTCCCCAACGATTTGGTTCGGGTTCATTGCAATCAATTTCTGCATTTTGTGTGGTGCGACATATTTTGCGCCGCGACTTCCAAGAATTCGCTAAACAAACAAACAGCCCAGAGGCAACAGTATGCTGTCCAGGGGCATGGCGAGCAGACAACATGTTGCCGAGTTGGCGATAGAACCAGCCCAACATGCCACAAGAACAATGTTTTGCGGTTAATGATCGTGCGACGACCAACGTTTCAAATGTAACAAAAAAAGAGAAATACAAGCGAGCAGAAGAGTAACAACAGCACACAGGTACTAAGAGAGATCGAGAGGGAGTGAGAAAGGCATATATGTACATGCAGAGAGAGAGACAGTGATCCAGGGGGGGAGGGAGGCAGAGTGAACTTAGAGAACGGCACAAGACATTTTGATAAACATTTACAAACGCACTGGAGCAGAAACTTCATAGCCACATTCAAACAAACAACAACAACAACAACGACACGAGGTAACCGCCAAGTCGAAGACTATAGCAGCAGCAACAACAACAACAAGAATAAAGACGATGACAGCCAGCCAAGTAAGAAACGAGAGAAGCAAGAAGAAGAGCAGCAGCAGAAAAAAAAAACAGCAACAGAAGAAGAATATGCTACGCTTTTAACCATATGGTTTATTTATACAACAACAACAACAAC